CTTAATATTGATTTGTTGTTTTGAATAAGAATTCAATTCAATTTAGTTTATTTATATAGCGCCAAATTCACAACACATGTCATCTCAAGGCACTTTACAATTTAACCAGATCATACAGTCAAATTGATTCAAAGTTTTCTATCTAAAGAAAACAAGTTGATTGCATCGACTCAATGACTCAAAACCAATACATCACATGACTTGTATCTGTTGTAAAGGATCTATATCTTTCTTTAAAATTCAGACTGTTCCTCTGTATTAGTCTGTCATTTAAAATATTTAAAAGTTTGTGTTTTTAATATCACAAAATGTACAAAAAAGTTAGGTAAGTTAAGAAAAGCTGTGTGAATGAACAATGTAGAAACACTGAGTTTGTTATTTCCTCTCTGGGTCAGATGAATCGCATATTTTGAGGATTTAATGCATGCTAATAGGTTTAACCGTCTGTCACTCCTCTGTTAATGCAACTCCTTTTGTTAATCCGGGGTCTAAATGTTACAGGAGTGACGTCACGGTGAAGAGAGACTTTGGGATGGAATCGACACTGCTGGAGTCAGAGGGGGACACTGAGGAAGACGAGGAGACCGACGGTACACTCACACTTCACGGTTTTCACACCTCGCCGTCTCATTCTGTGACGCACATGTTTCAATGAGTAAACGCTTAATTGCAGAAATGAACTCCGTCATGTCGGTTTTAGAAGACACATGTGGTGACAAATCCCTAATGAAAGCCTTGTGAAATGCAGATTATGAGGATAATGAGGACGAAGGAACAGGAGGAGGAGGCGCCCGCCCTGAAGGTGGCGAGGAAGGAGCATCTGGCTCGTGGCTACGCTGTGTTCTCCAGTGAAGCTCAGGCAGGACTCCACGGCCTGCAGCCGTCAGCGGGAAATAAGGGGGGGGGGTTGAAGTGACAGACTGAGTGTTAGTCTGGGAGGAAGAGGAGGGAGCATATGGACAGAGAGCGAGCGAGTGAGTGAGTGAGTGAGTGTGATGGGCAGATTGTTTTCTCTGTAAATATTTTCACATTCAATAAAGCTGTCAAAGTGTGAGAGCAAATTTGCAGCTCCCGTTGTCTTTTTTTTTTTTTTTTTGCCCCCCTTTGATTTTTTCAGTGACCCTGCATCTTCCTGACACACCAGTTCATCGTGCGCCCCCCCCTCCCACACTCTGCAGGAGTAACCCGATTAAATGAGCTGGAATCACATTTTCTCCTTAATCTTTCCTTTTCTTCTCTCTCTGGTGTCCTTGCTGCTTTTGTAAACACCACAAAGACTTTTTATTTTATTTCCTAACCTCTCACTTCCACAATTATCTCATGAATGTCATCCTTTGTAACCTTTTTTGTTTTGTTCCCTTTCCTCTGCGTCCATTTAATAAAAGAAATAAAACACAATTAGCATTTAAATCTCTTTCCTCCAGTCTGTTGCCCGCCTCTACATCGGTCTCTCTCCCCTCTCTCTTTCTCTAGCAGACTCTACATGTCTCAGTCACTAAGGCAACCGATGCTTTTTTTCCCTTCTTCCTCACTTGCTTTCTGTATCCCCCCCTCTCGTCTCCCTCTCTCATTCCCTCTCTCCGCTGCCAGAGGTAAGCATGATAACTGATATGTGTCTGAGTGCTTGTGTCCGACTCCCGGCGTGCCTGCGCTGTCTCCGGCTGACATTTCTTTGGCATTTCGACAGCAGTTTGTTGATAGAAGTTCCCTCTTTCTGCCCAAAGTGCCATAGTGAGTGTTGGCTCCGTGCACGCCGCTCGTAATGATGATTAATGTGCTGCGCTCAGGTGTAACTGTGTGAAGGGGAGAGCAGATCAGACAGTGAGTCTGTACTTTTTTTTTTGCATGCAGATGTGCAAACATGTGGAGTTTAACTGGGTGATAAATTTAGAATTCCCATGGGAAGGCTTTGTGAAGATTGTTTCTTTATCTTTTTTTAAAGGGAAAGTTGACTTTGAGTCTGTCTTCATGTTGTTTTTTTGTGTTTTATCTGATTTTTTTTAATGCTAGAAGTATATTAAAGGAAAAATCAGGACCCTCCTCCCTCCTTTCTTGCTTTTTCTATCTCTCTTACTCTCATGTCTTGCAGAGATGATCGGAGAAGAAGAGTCTCTGTGAACAGAGCGAAGCGATGGAGAGATGGTAAGGTTTCTCAGTATGGGGATGCAGATGCATAAAATGTCACTCTGATTGATGGCTGGCATGGGAATCGATGCCTGAGCTGCTGAGGTTGTGCGGGGTGCCTCTGGGCAACTGCTTCTCTCTGATAACTCCTCTGTCACTCCTCTTTCAGCTCCATCTCTCCTGTCGCACGACTCGCTGCCCTCATCTGCCTCCTCCTGGCTGCCCTGCTCACACAGCCCTCCACCTGTAACAGTGAAGAGGACAAGGAGCAGGTGGACTCCCTGTCTGTGCAGCTGTCTGTCAACTCCCAGGTCACGCCCACCCCGCTGTGGGCGGTGGTGTGGGGTCCCACACAGACTCTAGATGAGGATACCACCTACCACTTGCTATCCAGCCAGGAAACAGACCACCTGCACCCCAGCAGGAGCCAGCAGGAGGTCGACAGCGCTACCAACGGGGATTGGGTCGATCCGGATTCCAGCGTGCAGCCCCAGGCACCCTTGGAGTCCAGGAACCGGGAGGGACAGAAGGATGAAGGGACGGAAGCGGAGGAGACTGAACCGGAGGAAGGTGGGGATCAGGATGCTTGCATGAAGGCTTTCTAAATACAGCTGAACGAACAGAAATACACACACTTGTGCCAGGAGTCCTCCAGGGAATTAGCTGTCACCAGGGGTGAAGGCTGACACCCTCCTGTGTGCAGCCGGCTGTGTCTGTGCCTGGGAACGCCTAATAAAGTTCTCATCACTCACAGGGAGAATTTGGCCTGTGTCAAAGCTGCATAAAAAAACAAACAGGACGGCATTGGGTTGGTGTTATAGTTGGAGGCCAGAACCTTGCGCATCCAATTTCATGTCTCAGCTGGCTTTATTGATTTCTTCTGTTGTTCTGAATTCAATTACAGGTGTAACTCAATAAATCCGAACATTGTCAAAAAGTTCACTTATTCCAATAATCCAGCTAGTTTTATTTAGATCTATTACGCTCAGATTAGTTGATTTTAAGTGTTTATATTTGATAATTATGACGATTATGGTTCGCAGCTACTGAAAAGTTCAGTTTCTCAGAAAGGAGGAATATTGCTGTAGATTAATAAAAAAATATGATTTTCATTTGTTTAAGCGCTGTCAGGATATGGCTTTAATTTTTCTATTTCTGCATTAATCCTGGATGGTTTTTTTTGTTCTGTTTCTTTCATCCTCCTTTTAACAAGTGTTTGTACGGTTCAGTTTAGCTTGCTGGTCATTTAAGCTCAGTATCATCACAGTCTTTAATCCAGTTTTGTGTTTGGGAAGTTTCCCAAGTTCTGCTGAAAAATGAAAGTAGCATTAAAGTCAACACAGTGGATTCTTTGTTTCTTCTCTTCTCCTCCAGATGTTGGGACCTTGATTTGTATAAAAAATCTAACCTGACATTGTCTGGTTCAGGTGTATCTTGATGTATCAGCTGCACTTTGTTTTGTTAATCTCCCCCAAACTCTTGAACAGACTGTCCTTCAAAATCTGCATTAGGCTGCTTACCTTTTTTTTTTCCCTACCCCAGGTTTTCCTTCCACCTAACTTTCCATTAAAATATTTGGGTAAAGCTTTCTGCAAGCAGCAATGACACTTTGAGGCTTACCCTCTTTGTAGAGGATGTTTAATGGACTACATTGTGGCCTTAATGTAGCATTTCTTGATCAATTTATTATTTTTTTGAAAGTCACTTTGAAAAATGTAAGAAATCATCTTTACATTTCTTGATATAGTTTTAAGCTATGAATAATATATCCTGTTTTATATTCTGGATTTAATTTTACTAAAAAACTGTGTGTTTACTGCAGTGGACCCTCAGTTCTACGTCACCGTGACCATCTCTTCACTGCTCATCCTGACAGCTGTCATCATCACAGCCAAACTCTGGTAGGAGCCCGAACTCTCTCCTTTAAACTGCTCTGTGCATGAATACATGAATATAAAGCGATGAAACCCTCTCGGTGTGATTTGGACACCTGTCCCACAGCAGGACGGGGTTAACGTGTCCTGATTAAAACACCTCGGAAAGGTTTAATCAGACATGAAGGAACTTTCTGTTCTTGAGATTCAATCCGCGATCTTTATATGTTAGATCTTCTTCTAATCATTTCCATTCAAGCTTGAATGTATTGAGGTCAGTTGTAAAGTTGCTTAGTTCCTAAACTGGAGATTAGGAGGCCACTGAGGAGTTAGAAGATAACATTTATGAAATGAATAAAACATAACTGTGCTACTTAAAATGAAATGTCTTTTTTCAAGCTTTTATCCAGCTAATTGCAGGCATAATTGGAGTCCATTAATATATGAAAATGTCTTAAATGGACTAATCAGGCTTAGCTGAACTAGTTTTGAGTGGACAGATAAGAGATGGTTTGTTTTCAAGTGAAATAATTTTTAATTAATCAGATATTCAACCTTATAGTCAAGAGACAATGAGAGATAGAAGGTATTCATTCCTTTTAGAAGGTTAAAAACCACAAAATGTAATGAGTTTTACTGGGATCGTATGTGATAGGCCAACACACTAAACAGCATGATCACAAAGGTAAAATAGGGGCTTTTTATTTCCAAACCCAAAAATTGTAGCAGTGTTTTTTGTTTTTAGCTCTTGTTACCCCTAAATAAAAGAACAACCCACTTATATTAGTCCACTTGAGTGTGTAATTGAAAAAAATATTTTGTGTTTTGCAAAGGTCTCTTTTTTCAGGGAACATTATTAAACATAGCTGACAGGTCAGGGAGAAAGTTGTGGAGAAGTTTAAAGCAGTTTGATTGGAAATGATCAAAAAATGGATAGAGTGTGGAACAGCAGCAATGTAATATAGACCTGGGCCTCCAGCAATAATCAGAGAAGCAGCCTACAGGTCTGTGGAGGAGCTGCAGCTCAGGTATGAGAAGATATGCTGTCATAAACTGTATGTTCTACAAATAGTTTTTTTTCAGTGAATACACTGGAAAAATGATCTAGAAATAAGTAATAATGTCTTAAATGATGTGTATTTACCCTTGATTTGAATAGGTAAATGACATGATGGGGCAATGGAATTAATATTTTTTCTCTTAATATAAGAAGATTAGATAAAATGGACTTGGAATAAGACAATGCAGTTGTGTTTTCTTATTTTAAATCTAAATTGTCTTGTTCCATTGGCAAAAAGTATCTTTTATCTCCTCAATTCAAGAACACATGCACTTATTTTAAGAAAAAAATCACTTATCTAGATTCTGATTTTTTTGCAGTGTAGTGGCCTTTGTTTAAAGCTGTAGTTGATAGAAAGAATTTTGATTTGAAGTTTTCTAAAGCCTCTTAGGTGACACAATTAACCTATGCAGGAGGTTGATCTGGTCTTAGTCGGCCAGAGTCAAACCTTTTGGCCTAGTGAGTGGAGAGGGAAACTAACGCACTAAAAACATTAACATCAAAGTCTATTTTTCTTGAAATAAGTGTTTATTTCCTTGATTTAAGGAGTTAAGTGTAACAATTTGCCAATGAAATTAGTTAATTTATCTTCTTTCAAGTGCATAATTGTCTTATTATAAAGGCAAAAATAAACGACTAGCAGATAATTTTATCTTACTGCAAAAATTAAGGTCAGATACAGTATTTCATTAATTTTTTTTTACTTATTTTTATGTCAGTTTCTGCAGTGCATTATCATTAGAAAACACAGGGTTGGTAGCATCATGCTGTGGGGATCCTTTACTTCAGTCATGTCATCCTTGCTCAATCTCTCCATCAGTCTGGGAGTCATGCACTGGGAAACTTTAAAGACCCTGGTTTCTAGATCAAAGGTACATTTCTTCCAAATTTTCTCACTTTTGGGAAAAAGAAACAAGTTTTAAACCTTTCTTTCACCTCACAGCTCTGTGCAAGATTGATTGACATCACATAGAGACTCGTTAAAACACATTTCAGTGTGTAACAGGATAAAAACAAAAGTTTAAAGGGGAGGAATACTTTTTTAAGGCTGTGTTATGTTTCATATCCTCTGTGATGGAGCTACCAGCATGGAGACCCAAACAGCAGATGGCTAGAGTGTGGTTGTTGGTGAGGACGATGGTCCCATGCTGGTGTATGTTGTTTGTGTATCGTTGATGGTTACGTAATGGTTCCATGAACCCCCCCCCCCTCTCAAGTGAAAGCTGAGTAATTGCCTACTAATGACTTTATTAACAACACTTGTGCTCCTGAAAGTCACAGTCGGCACAGATGTGTCATTTAGAACCATTAGTGTTGCAATGATTAAACATTTGCTGCGATCATTAGGACGAGCAGAGGAGGGCTGAACAGCACTCTGATTGGCCGCCTCACCGCCTCGGACATTAGCATGGCCTCCACTTAGGCCTTCCTCGACAGGAGCCCACCTGCTGCTGAAGCTCTCAGGGCGTGTAGACATGGTGGTAAACAGGGGGTGGGTTAGCGGGAAGCGGGGGTCTGGGAAGGTACACACATGGCCGTTAGCTGGAAACGGGGAGTCATCTACGTGATGTAGTGAGCCACTCACACGCTTTGCTGATCAAACCAATAAGATTCCAGTTTATTTGACCACTGGGACCCTTTCTTCTCCCTCTCCTCACACTTCTACTCTCTCTGCTTTCACTTTATTACGCTTATCTGGGAAACTCACCCCATTATATCTTAATTTTTACATTTCCTCTTCCAATAATGTACCTTTCCTTTCCCCTCTTTATCCTTAGCTTTCCTCGCTCTTCTCCTCTGAGGGATTTTTTTTTTTTTTTCTTTGTCGGAGATACCTGTGTTCTCTCTTTTGCACAGTCGGCACTCTTATCTCCCCTCACCGCTCTCTTAGTTCTTCCAGTCTGGCTGAAGATTCACAGATAATCCTCCAGCTTGCCAGGAGCAGATACATGATTTGTCTGCTTTATTTCTTTTTCTCTCCCTGTTCCAGAGACCATCAGCACTGTTGTTCTGATAACTCACTTGCCCAAGCCCCCACCGCGTAGTCGTGCCATGCCACGCCGTGCTGGTGGATATAAAAAAAAAAAAAGAGTTGCATCAGAGAGAATTGAAGAGAGAAAAAGCAACAGAGCCCTCTCTATAGACTGGCTCGTGCTTCAGTGTCATAAATGTGTAAATAACACCATGTGTTAGATGGAGAGAAGAGCCGTGGAACGAACGGGGAGTGATGAGGGTGGGTGCAGATGGACCCAAATGATAGCCTATAGTGGAAATTGGCCATCGTCCAGTTCATTATGATTATAGAGGAACGGCATATGTGCTGAGTGTTTTTTTTCTTTCCTTCTTTTTTTCCCCCAGCACATAAAATTGCCACTGTGGATAATGTTATGAAGCGGGATGCTGAGTATGAAGCAAGGGAAGCTGTCTGCCAGAGGTGGACAGGTGTTTATGGTGGAAAAAATGAGGGTTCAGGATGGTTTTCATGGCTCTGAGAACAGCTTTGTTGTTGCTTAAAGTAGCCCGGTGACACCCCCTGCAAGGTCACGCAGAAAATATTCACACCCCTGGGACTTTTTCAGTTTTTTAAGGTGTATGTCTTTTATTAACTTTGTAGAGACGAGAATGTTTGCCCCTCTTAGCAAGACACTATCAGTTTAAGAACATTTTCAAATCCTCACTTTATTTTCTAATTAGATGCATGTGCGGGCTTTGACTAGGCCATCCCTATGCGGTGTTGTCAGTAAACCTTCTACTGCCATGTATTTACCTCCATCTGACCTGCTTCCCTGCTGAAGAAAAGCATCCCCCACAGCATGGGATTGCCACCACCATGCTTCACAGTAAGCCTGCTGTTTTCCTTTTTCAGTGTTGGTCAGTAGTTTCAGTTCTGGGTAGATCCACGTCCCTCACATGGCGTACGGCAAGCAGGATGTCTCATTGCTGTCTTTTAGCCATGGTTTTGTTGTAGAGTGTTGGAGTAGTAGTTGTCCTCTGCAAACTCCCCACCTGAGCAGTGGATCTCTGCAGCTCCTCTAAGGCTACCTTGGGGCTGTGGCTGATTTTCTCTTAACCTCTCTGATGATCCTCATGAGTTTGCAGTGGAGTTGTGCTTTTTTTCCATTTTTTAGAAGATTGATTGAATGTTGTTCTGTGAGGCGTTCACAGCTTGGTTTACTTTTTGGATTTTTCTATTTTATCCACCTGCTTTGGTTTTCTATCTTCATGCCTGACCTGTCTGCTGTGTTCTTTGTCTTTTTGATGCTGTCTGTTTTCTGACGCTTTAACAGTACAGCTGAGTTTATACTGAGATTAAAGTTTGCAGTTTACTGCTCAGTTATTGTAGCGATTCTGTTTGCTGGATTTTATTTGGGAGTCTCAGTGTAAGATGAGCTGAATAGAGTAAAATGTTTATAAAAATGTGTTTGTTCAGTAACCTGTGTGCGGTAATGTGTTAAGGTGATTAGTTTTTTGAGAGATAAATGTGTTTGGTTGCCACCTCAAGTTATTCTACTCGCACGACACCTCAGTGATACGTCAGGCCTCTGCTCGCTTCTTCACCTTGTTGCACACTTCTCACCTCACCCCTCCTGACTCCCCCCTCCCCCTGTAGCGCTGCCTCCCTCCCAGTACTGACAGTGTTTTAATGAGTTCGATGTTTTTCTCCTTGACGTTGGCAGGGTAATGTGCGCGCCGATGCTAAACGACTCAATGCTCCTGATGCTCCCTGACTTTGTTTCTTCCTCTTTTTGTCACCTCTCTCTTTCTCATGATCTGCTCTCATTTTTCAAAACTCCCAGCTCTTTGTTTCATTCCAATGATCTCCTCTTTTTCTTCTCCACAATCTCTTCTCATTTTTCCCAGTTACGATCGCAGCTGTTCCCAGCATCCGCCCCCGCTTTCCCGTGGCGTGGCCCCCCCTCTGTCCCTCGCGCTCCCCCGCTCCCTTGCTTCGGAGGAGAGCAGGCAGACGCTGCACAGCACCACCTCCTCCTTCAACGACAGGGAGAGGTAATGAGTCGCCCCGTCGGCCCCACACAGCCTGAGCGTTGCCGTGGCTAAAGTCCGTGAGTGCATGCACATCTGGGTTTTAGTTTGCTTCTGTTTTTGTGTTTCCAAGCTCCTTATCTTTGCATGTACTGTGAGGATGTGCATGGAGCGCAATTGGGCAGCAGCACTATTCTCTGTAGAACATTAAGGCCTGGGGTGTTGGTGCTGCTGTTAGATGTATCAGTGTTTCAAACTCCCTCTCCAGATGAGTCATCTGGCGCCTATGAAAAAGAAGCAGAGCCACCTTCCATGAAATGATGCTTTTGTTCAAGGGTGTTTTAACTTAATCTTAATCAGGATAATTATAGAGCCACTCTCTTGTGCTGCTTTTTGCTTCCTCCACCTCTTAGCTGTCCCCCTGTGATGCAGCTTTCCATCCACACCACCTTCAAGCCTTTTCCACTCAACATCTCCTCTTTTCTTTCCTTCTTTCTCTTCTTCCTTTTTTTTTTTTAAATCTCTTGCTGTGTCAGGATCCCGGTTGTGAACCTGTGAGGTGTTTTCCTCCATATGACAAACATTTCTACGAGGTTCCCGAGCCCCGACGCAAACAGGACCGGGGGCGAGCCCCGAGCTAAGTTTTATTTTCCTCTCCAACTGTGAAACAAATTCAGGGAACCAAGGTATCCAGCCATCACAAAAACACCCCGGCTTCCCTAAGGCCTGAGGAAAAAAAGGAAAAAAAAAATCCAAGCTCCTCTGACTCGCTCCCTTTCTCTACTTCCTTCCTGCTCAGTGTGAACGTTTTCTTTTCATGTGCATCACTGTGACCCTGTTTTTTCCACTGTTTGTACGGCCTCCGAGCTTTGCCAAGCTACCCAGCGGCTCTGCGCCTCAGCCTGCCGTGACTAATTCGCCAACAAGCAGTTTAACAGCCATGCAGCATCCTATTACCCCCACAACCCCTCTGAGATGGCCCTACCTGTGCTTCCTCAGTCGGCCATTCAGCTGCTTGCTATCAGCACCAATCCAACAGACTCTTCTTGCCGTGAAATGACAAGAATTCAGTCCTTTCCCTTAGCAGGCTTGTGAATGGTGTCAAAAAAAAAAAAAGCCATGCTCAGCATCTCTAAGAGTATTTCAGAAAGCTGTTCGGCGAGTCTGTAGCCAACAGGCAATGTGTTTAACATGTCACGCTCCAAAAACTGATGTTTATTCTCCCGCTTTTGGGTGCCTGAAATGCAAATGGTGGTGGTGGTGGGGGGGGTCCTCTTTCTGCAGATGTAGCTCAGTGTTTTCTCTTTTTTTTTTTTCCCCCCCTCATGATTTGTTTTTTTTAATTATCTGGCCGTTCACCTCTGTGTTAACCCTTCACAGGCACGCTGTGTTCCTGCTGGACTGTATTAGAAGTGTGTCATTAAACAGACTACTTCCAGAATATTCAGAATGGACAGTAAAATGTGCTGCTGGAGATCTATCCCCCCCCCATGGTTGGATGGTGCCTAACAAAGGAAAGATTTACATTTTCATGCAAACGAGTGGGCGACAGGGATCCTTACACTAATCTTGGTTAATGTTTTCTTTCTTCCCTGTTCCTGACAGCTTTGTGTCTCAATTTGGAAGGCAAAAACCTCCGTCATTATTAGCCGCTTTGAGGAATGTGGCACAAAACAGGCGGATCACATCCAAATATCCAATCAATCTGCATGTAATCATGTGACAGTTGCTTAGATCGTTTATAAATCGTCTATTTTACTATCAGTAAGTTTTCAAAGACACATTTCTGTTCCCTTTTTCTTAAGCAGCTTTGAGACGTGAATCCCAGTCTCCACTTCAGATATTGTACTGGTGGACTCATGGTAGCACTTCACATATCCAGTCTTGTGGTTGTTTGTAGCATTCCTGTAGAAATTCGGTCTTTCTGTTCTGTGTAACTCGAATAAAGACTCAACACTGGCATTTTAGCTCCATGTCTGTTTATTTCATTGTGTGTTGAATAAATTCCTGAGGGAGCTGTGCGATCCTCTATGTTTTATGGGAAGGATAAAGCTTTTTTTTTTTTTTAAATGCTCTGCATTTTTAATAGCTACACGTGTCTCCTAATCTTTCTCTCCCTGGAGGGAGTATTCAGTCCACTGCCTTGCATTGATGTTTAAACCTGTAGTCCTGGCATCATAATGTCCTGCGTGCGCCAATCATGTTTGTAACCAGTGAAAAGGAAAGGAGAATAATGTCTGAGACGCTCCTTATCTCCTCACCTCATATGGATTCCTCACGCTTTAGCAAGATTAAGAGGGTGCTAAGCAAGAATTTCCTCTGTGTATAGTTTTTCAAACTAATGTCAATAAAATCAGGGTGGGAACAGGAAGAGAAATGCCATTCGACTGTTTTGAGATTCTCCACCAGTCCTGCTGGTGCAGCTAGTGTTTACATCTCCTCAGGGCATTTTACTGATCAATCGGAGTAATGGATTGGCTGGGCTCCGCTGGGAGGTTTTAACAGCTGTATGACTTACACGCAGTGCCGTGCAGGAGTATCTCCCCCTCAACTTTTCAAAACTACTAACTTCAGAATATTTTTTATCAGGATTTTATGTGACAAAATGTAGAGCGTGGTGATGGTTGCTTTATAAGGAGGATGACAGGCTCACAGCTCAAAAGTGCAAACTGCATGTGGGAAAACTAACTGCAGATGACGAGTTTGTTAGATGAAAAGGGACATTTCCACAATAAAACATGGCGGTGGTAGTATTATGCTCTGGTCAGAAAATAACCACGAAGCTGTTCAGAACTGATGGCAACATAGGACCAAATTCTGGAGGAAAATCCATTAGAGGCTGCAAGAGACATTGTAGTGGGGCAGAGGGTCAGTTTTTTGGGTCACTGGATTTATTCTTTAAGGCAGTGATTCCCACCCGGGGGATACACGTACCACGAGTGGTCCGCGAATGCATTGCAAGGGGTACATTAAAATATTTTATTTCTTAGGTAGTGAACAAAAGTAGGGCTGGGATCTGTTCTGCTTTGTGAAGACCTAATTAAAAATTTAAACAAGCTTGTATCAACCAAAAAGCAAGTTTTTTTCTTTGAGTTCACCTTCAGCTGTGAGCCAGATCAAAACCAAGCAGAGGAACGGACTGGATGTAGTGGGTTTACTCAAAGGGCTGCCCAAAGTGGTACATAAGTCAAAAAAGGTTGGGAACCACTGCTTTAAGGAACCAGTAGCAGAAAAAAAAAGAAAACAGGAAAAAGATACTCATTTTCACATCAATACACAGGCATCTCATTCTGAAACTCGTAAGGCGCTAGTTCTTCTATACATCTCAATTTTATACCATCAGTTTCCTACTGCAAACCAGATTAAAATGAAAGTCTAAAACTTTCTTTTTAATGTGGCGAGTTTTGTTCTTTTGAAAATTGAAAAAGAACTTTATTGATCTCACTTTGGAGAAATTAACTCTCTGCATTGCAGTGTGGGGTTAAGGGTCTTGCTCAGGGACCCAGAGTGCAGGCTGTGGGGATCGAACCGGGTACTTGCAAACTTCTCAGAGCGCAAGCGCTCTGCTCTAACACTATGTCAAGACTCCCCTTTAACTGCGATTTTTAATTTATTGCAATAAAGATAATTTTGAGAGAATACTGGAAAATGATTTATTTCTCTTTGCTAAATTGGTTTATAAAACTAAATTCAAATTTTCATTGATTTAACCCCAAAGCACATACATGCTAGCGTTGTAGCTTAAAATTTAGCATTTTAATTGTTGTAAATATTAAGATGTCTACTTCTCTTTGTCTATTTACATAAAACGCTGGTAAACTAAAACGGCTACATTTATTTTCTCACCGGTTTATAATGGGGAACATTCAGTTAACAAAACAAGCTCATATCTAGAGCTATTCTGCAAAAAAAATATATGGGCCAAAGGTTTTGTTTTTTAAAGTCCAAAGACAGAAGAGGAACTCCAAATGTGTAAAATGCACAAACTTAGTGGAGTTTTGGTTGTAAAATAAAAATATACTAGAAATGCTGCTGCAATCTGTGACCACAACAAGCACAGAGGAGCGGGTCGTACGGTCAAACTCAATTCTCCAACAACTTCACTTTCACTCCAACACCTTGAGAGGTGTACAGCTGCTAGAAGTCACAGCTCCAATTCTGTGAACAGCAATGAAGCTCACCGCAGTGACTGAAATTAACACCTCTATTTATAGAGGTGAGGCAGGATGACTGAGGAAAGCGGGAATTTAGAAAGATGCAGGGTTAAATGGAACAAGATCATTTTCCCCGTCTAGTCGCCTGTCACTATCAGCGCTGGCCAGCTATTTGCCACCATTAATGTCCTGTAGGATTAGGGGAGGAGAGTTTAGAGGAAACAGAATCTAAAGCGGGAGAGATGGACAGGGCAGGCATGATGAAGGCAATCTTGATAGTGATGGAGGTATAAAGAAGAGTGGCAGGCAATTCAGACATTGAAATAGAGGCTCTGGATGAAACGTACTCGTATAAAATACAAATGCGCTTGCTGTATGTGTGTCTGCAGGCAGGTTTGGTGCACAGGGGTAGCCTGGGCTGTATAATGCATTAATCCCTTTGGGGACATGCCCTAATTAATGACTTGACCTCCTAACGTGTAGCCCCCTTCTGCGAGTTAACATTTAGTAGTGATCCCTCCAGAGATGCACTCTGAAGTACATTTAATAAAAGAAGTGACATTAATAAGACAGCCGACATAAAAAGTGAGCTTTTTTTTCTTTATTTTTCCAACAACTTATATTCTGATTTTATACAAGTTTTAACCCAGCCGAGAAAAAAAACAAAAAAACAAAAATCAACTGAAAACAAATCAAAACAAAAAGATAAAAACATACACTTTAGATACACTGATCCTGTTTCTGGTCAAAGGCAACTGATTCCTACTGCAGACCACTCTGTCCTCGTGTATAACAAGTGCTTTTATTTACACTGAGAGTCTGTGCAGAGGTGGACGCCACACCTGCTTTGTTCATCCTCCAGGTGTTTATTTCTGAATCCGGTTGATTCATCGATCAAATTTCCAGTGAAAATGTGTGTTTGTTCTGCAGACGTGGATCTCCAAGAAGATTGGCTTGAGTCGTTTTCTAAGTATCTGGCCGTCTGTCAGTGTGCCGATGAGTCTATAAATTAGCGAGCGTCCATCAGTGCGGCTGTCCTCACGTCTCCTCCTCAGTTGGACTTGGACCAGATCTTTCCACTCCCACGCAGTCTGTTTGGGACACAGCCAATTATAAAAAACACTAAATTGATGCTTTGTTTAAGATTTATTTATATAATTATGCTTTTAATTTCCCCCTGTGGAACGTGAAAACACGTAAAAGTAAAAGTTATGTGGCTATTTTATGCCTCCAAGGAATGAGGAGAAATTATCCACATAAGTGTTGCATCCTGCATGCAAAGATCTTTAAATATTTCACATTGATATTTAAAATGCTTTAACTGGAATAGATCCGAGGGGATTTTCTGTTTCAGCAAATGAATGTGACATTTGGCTAATAAAATGTTTCTAATTATAACTAAATGATGAATGTAATCATTTTACAAAGCCCAAATAAAGAAGGTGTGTCAATAGATATTTAAAATTGAGGATTGAGGTTAAGCTATCATTAATTTGGATTTGAACACATGGAGTGGATCTCCCTCTGAATGAAGCACTGCAGTGAATGATGAAAATATCATAACAGCAAAACATAAACAGCACTTGAAGCATCTTGGTTGATCACCAGAGGGAGAAATGGCTCTTTCAGGAAGTGAGCACGCAGGCCGTTTGTGTATCCACTGACATTTTACAATTCAGGACAGATGTGAAATTAGCCATCGGTAATACGGCCGGATGGAGCCAGAGCAGGAGAAGGGATTTATTGAGCAGGGTTATGGGAGTACTGCAGAACACTGGTGAGTATCTGATAATAAAAGTACTTCTTGCAGACACACTCATACCGTTTATCTGCAGCTCTCTTTTTAATGTTTTTTAAAGAAAATGAAACAGCTTTTGGAATTTAGTTTTGCTCCCTGCAATAGAAATAAACCAGTAGCTTCAGTTTAGTGCTTGTTAGGGTCTTAATCATCTGCTGTGCTTATAATTTAATGAAGACAGAGGCATATAAAATTAAATAAACAAACTAAAATAAGAGGCATTTGATGGAAAAATCTGCCACATGCTGCTTTTTGTTCCAGTTTTCTGACATTATGTTTCTCGTTTCAAAATGAAATAAATAAAAACATAAAACCCAACTAGTAAGCGCTGAATGAAACATCACGTTAGTGAGACGTTCTACAAGGCCGCTCATGTTCCATTTGTGTAGCCTTGAAAAGAAAAAAAAGGATTTTCTATCCAAACATCTGCTAGTTAAAGCCGAACCGAACCCAGAGAGGCTCGTTTCTGTGGAAGCCATTAGGCTGAAATGTTTATGTAAAAAAAAAAACAACAAACAAAAGTGGAGGTAGCAGCACTCACCCTTTCACCTTTGAAGCCTTTTTGCCTGGCTGTCGGGGTTCCTGAGAGGAGGCGGGGTCCCGTGGCTCAGCCGGCTGGTCTCCATCTGGATTGGACGCTGCGCCGGCAGGGGCGGGGCCTGAGGATGGAGATGCAGCGCTCGCCTTTAACGTTTTTTGTAGGTTTGAGACCTGATGAGAAAGACAAAACGGAAGAATGGTTATTCATTTTCAAGTTTTTAAAAACTCAATGGTGAATGCACAAAATCCACGCTGCTCCTTGGTCTTTATATAGCCCTCTGAAGTGTTTTTATATATTTTGGCTGTCGTTTGGATTGATATTGATTTACAATGTAAGACACCAAAGTTAAATTATTTTTGTCAACACATACTTAATGAATAAAGCTGATTATAAATATATAGAAAAACACATTTTTCAACTGTAAAGTATTTTGGGAGATATGTGATGCTATTGGCCAACGTCTCCTCTAAATGCCCTGAGAATCTTGTATAGCATAATCTCTAGAGCATCACGTTTTTTATACTCCAATTTCTAAACTCTTAAAAAAAAAAAAAAAACTCTTAAGAACTTTAATCTGTGACAGTAATAACTACATAAATACACAACAATCAGCTCTGTGTGACATCTTAAGAGTCAGTGTCTTCTACGCAGATACATCTGACTCTAACTTTAACATTGATTGAATCGCTGCTTCAGACCAAGAAGACTTTGTCCTCGAACAGCATAAAAGCTGCTCGCCAACAGCCTGACAAACACCCACTGTCTCAGGTATTTCATCTGAGGCAAATTTCTCCCTCTTTAGAAGCTGATTTCTGATGGAAGTGGGTCTAGATTTTTGTAGTGCCAGCATATAAGTTTTTGCTCTTTACAATTTGCTGTATATGATCATTAAACAATGTTGGATTAACTGAATTCAAAACCTAAAAATGTGTATTTTTGTAGCTGGAGTCTGTGTGGAATATTACTGTATAAAAAATACTGTGAAAAATAAAACTCAGAGGCAGAGATCAGCAGTGACAGATGATGAAGCGAACACTATTCTGAAAGCGTACAATTGGGATTTTATGAACTTACCTAGAAGGGAAACACATTTAAAATGATTCACTTGGTCTGTATATGCTGCTTCACAACAGTGAAAAACAGTGATAATACAACTACCATATAGATGCATGTTTACTATACGAACCCTGATATAAAGCTTCCTACAAGGAAACCACCTCCATCCGAACAAGAACCAACCAACATCACCTTCTAATTCACTTTATGGTTAAAAATAAAGGACTATTTTTCTTCAGCTCATGCTGGAGGCTTTCCTAACATAAATAGCTATATTTTACTGCCTATAAACAAGTAAAGTTACTTGTGTGGGGAGTGAAGTGGGTCATTTAAACACTTTTACCCTGGAGATGCAAACATAAAAAATCATACAGCTCATTTTTCAAAAATAATGCAGCTCATTTTTCAAAAAGGAGTAAATAGGAAAGAATGTCCAGTGTCTCAACCTTCAAATAGGTTTCCTGTCAGGATTTCAATGCATTAAGCTTTAAATCAATTCTGACCAGTTTCTCTATCCCTAAAGAAAAGAATCCCAACAGCTTGATTCTGCCACATTTCTGCTTCATCATAAGAAAATATTCAGTGTCAAAGCTCTTAGTTTTCCAAACAAGCAGGGTTTTAAATGGCAGCAAAAACTTTATATAATCTCAGTTTATATAAAGCAAAATGAAAACAGTGTATTTCTCCTTTTAATTTCAAAATCATGCAGAACATTGTATTAATCCACTACATAAAGGCCTGGATATAATACAATGCTTGTAGCTTTAAACATGTAAGAAAAAAGAAATAGATCATTGATTCCATTATTTTTGCTAGACATCCACCATGCATTGAATGTTAAAGCAGCACCTAGAATTTATACTAGACTGGTGTGTCAGTATCCGTGTTTGACTGACAGGAGGTGGCTGTCAGCCTGCAGTGTTTGTGTCAGACCTTAAGGAACAACAGGAAAAATGCAAATAGTCAAAATCATTAAAATAAATGTGAAGGCTGAGAGTAAACCATCCAGAAAAAAAATCAATTATGTATATCCCGCTGTATTTTCTTATGTAGAGTAGAACATCCTGTTTTTCATTATGAATAAACACTAGGTCCCATTACTTGGACTGGATGTGGAACAGAAAGGGATCGGGCAGCCAGTATAAACTGGGAGCGGATTATCAAAGCTAGCAGATGGGGGGGGAACAGAGATAAGCAGCCATGAGGAAAGTGAAATAACAAAGAGAGCCAAGAGCAAATTATAAATGTTGAAGAAGAAAGAGACATTTATTCACCCTAACCCTGGAGAGAAAACAACAGAACTGCAGGGCGATGAACGACTAACCTCTGTTTCTACTTGGACTTTGACCTTTAGTTGGTTCTCTCTGTACTGGTTTGCCCTTGAGACCTGCTCTTCAATACCACACAGAACTGCCTCACAGCCAGTACACCTGAGGAGAAGAAGAAAGGAGGTAAACTGAGTCAGAAGACAGGAAAAAGAAATTAACGGTTTGGAGGGATATATATATAGTTGATACCAACCACTCCTGCAGTGTGTTGATTATGTTTGGAAGCTCATTGGGCCCAAGATCACGGCCTACGCTGCAGTCCACTTCCACCTGCTGGTTCCTCTGGTCCAGCTTGCCCTGGATGATGTCGCAGTAAACAGCCTCAATCAACAGGTCTTCCAACTCCCGCACATTCTTTAGCTCAAGCTGCTGAAGGAGCAGTGAGTAAGGGAGGCACTGTGGGAAAACAAAACAAAGACATAAAACAGTTTAAACCTTCATATTCTCAACTAGGTAAACCAGCAGCAACTTTGATTGTACATAATTGGTTTACAGAAGAAAAAAAAAAGGGTAAAAATGCTTGTTTGCTTAAATATTATTGCTGGAGGAAGATGAAACGACTAAATTTTCACAATTCTCTTATTGGTAATTAAAGAGATTTCAAGGCAGCATACAGAGGAAGCAGTGACACAAAACAGGGGGAAGGAGTGAGAGGAGTGATGTTAATGGAAAGGGAGAGAGCTAAAGGGGTAAAAAGGACTGTGTTAGTGAGGATAATGAATCAATTATTTAACAGGAACCAAGATAGAAAAGGGCATAAATGAAGGTGCAGCGTAGCTGAAAAGTCCAAAGAAGAGATGATTTCCAACATAGTTCCTTCTAAAGTTTATAATAAGATTTAGAAGCAGCCCCAACGAAGAGCCTTAAGATTAGGAAGAAACCTTAGAGCCTATCTGTCTATTTGCTTCTAATTCAGCTAATGTAAACACAGCTACAGGTTACAATCAAAGGCAACCTTACATTAACTTCAAACGAATTGATTATCAGTCAGAATAAAACAGAGAAGCCATATTTAAAAGAAGAATTGTCAATATATTATTGATATAAGAGCTCACTATTTAGAGCCTGCAGCAATGCGGTAGCTGAATAAAATTTATTTTCCATTCTTGAAATGTGAGGGGGGTTAATCAATACTAACTTATGGTTTATCTTTAACGCTAAATGTAAAAGAAGAAAAAAAATAATGAACCTTAAGGTTGGAAGCTAAGCTGATGATTGACAGATGGCGCAGTTTGTTTCTCTGTGCCGGGGTCAGCTCTGGAAGGGAAGCTGCTCTCTCTACAACAGAGAAGAAAACAAGACAATGAATGACACAAACACACACTGTTGAGAATCACACCATAGCAACATCCTGGTACAACAAACTCTCACTGGTCATTTTGTTATGCTACGTTCAAACCGAACAATATTTGAGCAGCAAAGAGGCATCTGCTGCTTCGTTTTTGATGCTTGTCCACATTAGGTCAGACACACGTACAGATGCGTCTGATGCTTGTGCCGCTCCTGTGTTTAATGGCAGAGAGCGGCTTTGCTATATTAGCTGTGATAAGTGGGTAAAATGTAGTTTTAATATGTTTTTAAGTGAGAAAGTCCACCTCAAAACATCTTTGCAGTCAGTCCATCAAGATTTCAATCCTGCCTTAAATGTTATTTTGTCTTTGGAGCCGCACAGACCACCACATACGGGCAGCGCACTGTCACTGGGACTCCCCTGCAGCAGCTCTGATTGGTTGTTGTGAGGCGTCGAACAGCAAAAGTTACATTTTTCCAAGTCCAGTATCTGCTGCTTGTGAAGCTCGTTGGGCGCCTCAGATGCTAAAAAGCTCATGAGATGCTGCTTCAGCTGTTCAAATGCTTCAAGATGCGCTGCTCCTGCTGCTTGAAATGCACTGCAGGACCTTTTAATGCACGGCAACCATTGACTTTGCATGTAAACCAGCTGCTTCTGCTGCTCAAATCACATTCAGTTTGAACGTAGCATTAGGTACATACGTTTCATTGCTTATTGTTACAGGAAACCAATAAAGAGCAAAAAATTCAACACATCTAGGCATATAGTAATAGGTAAAATTATTTTCTAAAGTTCAAAGTGAGCATGAGAATAAGGAAGAAAAGGATTTTGTTATGGCTAGATAAGCACAGGACATGAAACCTAGAAGCAGATAGGCTACAGCTGCAGAGGAACACATCAGGTGCCCCTCCTTTCAGCGCCACAAAAAAAGATAGTGGGCCAACAATCAAACAGGATCACCAAAATTGATCGATAATAGATTGAAAAAAAGTCACCTGATCTAAATATTCAAATAGTCTGATCAAAATTTAAACAACATGAAAAGGTTGAAATTCTGTTTTCTGTATCAATACTTCAGGCTGCTGATGGTGCTATAATGTGGGACCCTTTCTACCAATGAATCTTAGGCTACGTTCACATCGCAGCATGAAGTGACCCAAATCCGATTTTTTGCCCATATGCAACCTGTATCTGATCTTTCCATGGCAGTCTGAACAACACAGATCTGATTTTTTCCAATGCGACCCAGGCCACATGACTATGTGGTCCTAACTCTGATACAAATCTGAGAGCAAGATTGTATTCATCCAACCTGAACATCATTAATAATCAATAAAGGTCACTATTCTGCCTCTTGCTACGCATGGCGGACAATAATATGGAGATCAGTCTTTTTTTTTTTTAACCACCTTGATAACATTGTGTTTTTAAGGTTGGGAAAGATCACTAGATGTGCTCCAGCACTACCATACTTCCATGTGACGTCATTGTGTTGTCTACTGCGCATGTGGGACACTTAAGCTGTATGAATGCAGTTCACACAGGAGATCACTTACAAGTCGCATATATTTGGAAATATGAACAGCAACAGAAAAAATATCGGAATTGAGCATTAAGGCCTGCAGTGTGAACGTAGGGCTATGTCTAAACCCACAAAATGTCTTAGAACTGCTGCTGACCATGGTCAGCCCTTTGTGACTATAGAGTATCCATCTGATGATGGCCACTTCAAGCAGTGGTTAAAAGTTAAAATCATCTCAAACTGGATTCTTGTCTCAAGAATCAACAGATCTCAATACAGGAACACCTCCCTTCTGAGGATTTATAGAATAAGAGATTCATGTTATATTTACAACATACACAGCAGCTGAGTTACACCTCAAAGGCATGTTTCTGAAAGCTTCTTGAACAGTTGCAATAAAGAATTGAGGTAGCATTAAAGACAAAGAGAAGTCTAACCTGGACAGCCATAAAGAAGCCAGAGGGTGTAGTTCTTAAAGTCAAGCTTTGACTATCACTCTTTAAAGGTCAGTCAAAGCACTATTTAAATGTGAAAGGCATTTAAAACCTGGTACCAAAGCTATGCCCTGTGCATTAGCATTTATGGGTGATTTCTTTTTAGAATTTCCGGTTTGGAAGAGGTCACTGAACTGAGTCAGGGTTATCTATTAAATAGTCCACTGGAACATTTCACATTCACCATCAAAATGTAATCTTAAATTTTATTTCTCAACATTTTTATAAATGTATGAATAGAAGAGACTCTAAGGTTGTTTACATTGATTTCTTTTTCGTAGAACTTGCATTTTGTAAAATAGAGCAACCTAAGTGTCAGCCCTTATAAACTAAACCCCCCCCAGGCAGGTGCCATTTTTAATTTGAAGACAGCTGCTAAGTTGGTCTCAACAGAAGAGATTCACCATCTAGAAAGGTAAAAATAGCTTTTTTGCAAACAAACTCCTATAAGAATGACATGGAAGGGCGTAAAGCACAAGAGTTAAACAACAAGTCTGCTGAAACACATTCAGCCTCTATGTTATTTTTCTTTCTCCAAGCGCAAAAGAACCACACACCTGTTAAACACACCCAGTGGTCCTTCTGATATTTTCTAAAACACCTTAAATAAACTGGCTATAGCTATCTTTAGGTCATATTCCCGCAGTCACAGCATCTATACTGAAGAATGTTGTTATGATCTGAAAGAGCTTAGGTTTAATTTGATGGTTAGATAAAAATTGATTTTAGTGTTTCCAACCAGCCAATAAAGCCAGATTCCATCATTTGTCTAATTTTCTAAACAATAAAAAATAACAGAAACTGTGCATAACTTTGAGTTCTAGCATTATGCAGGCCAATGTTGGTCTTTTAGGCAGTCAAGAGCTGAGAGACAGTTTGGAGCAAGCCTGACTCCAGTGACCGTCTCTCCTGCAGACTTGCTCCCCTGAGAAAAGAACTCAAACTCTCCCGAGACAAAGGTTCTGACAGCTCCACTATGCAGCCTCATGAAAGTGAAATTACTTCCTTACGACGTGACCCAGAAGGCGGGGGCATCAAAGTAGGCTATCCCATCGGATCATTTTCATTTTGAACATTCAATTAGACATATTTATTAAGATTTCACTTCTTGCTATAATTCTTTGTGAAGATGACACATTAAGTTCCATGAGATAAGATTAGCCGTCCATGTGTACCAGCCTTGCTGTAACAGACAATTATCTGATAATAGGAACACTTTCGTGAAGAAATGAAAGTGTGCCAATTATTATACAGTTAATAAACTACCACCAGGTCTTAATGTGAGAGATTCCAAAATCTCCACATTAAATTGGCTGCCTTGAAACACAGTGAAACACAGCTCAATAAAAGCATTGCAGGACTACTCTATTACTTATTTACATAGTGCTGCCACTGCGGTACCTTTGTAGTCACAGTAGGTTCCATAGGCAAAGAGGTTCAGCAGCTGATACACTGGTGCATGAGGGCCATTCTCCAGCTGTGGGTCACAAGGAAGATAAAGAAGAAAATGATGTGGAAGCATACAAGAGATGATGAGAACTATGCAACTGCATTTGAGATAAGTATTATATAAGCATAGTGAGCAGGTCTGGCAGGGGGTCTGTGGAAGTGAAAAGGACTCAGAAAAATAAAATTTTCCATTTTTAAAAACATTCAGCTCAGAACAAAGAGGATTAGATTATTATGGAAGGCAAAATTTGTCCCCGGTGAGCTTCTGATTCAGAGCAGATGTAAGATCTCTGCTCAAAACATACCCATACTGTTACCCAACCGCTGACCAGACTCGAAAAGGAATTTGAATAAAAAGTTGTTTTTCCCTCTCAGAAACTATCCCGGAGTGTCTTAGATTCCCTCCATGCATGGCAATTGCTTTTCTGCTGCTTGTTTAAGTTTGACTCGATGTTTACTTTAAACCCAAAATGCAAATGTGTCTCACAGAAAGTATTGAACTACTATAATTGTATCATAGAGCTGATGAATATAAAGTATGTACTAAGTTAAAATGAAGCAAGTAGTCTGTCTGACAACACAGGCAGAAAATTACATAAAAGACAAAACCCTCTAAAGGAAACCATGTCTTTGTTTGGCTGGAAGAAAAGCAGAAGAAAATCTACAGACGGAACAGTATTATCTCAAATCTAGACTTTTTTAGTCTCTCATCAACAGCCATTTTAACACATTTTTTCATTTCTAATGGTACATTCCTAAATTAACTTTAAGACATGAAGCTTTAGAGACATATATAAGAATAAAGTAATACATTTAAAGGAGGAACAGCACACTTGTCTTGTGACAACACATTTACCCAGAATAATTTCTTTTTTTTAATAAACTGCCAACATCATCTCTCCTTTTCATTTGACTGTCTCAATAATAATTTCACAGTAGGCATTTTTGAATTCAGTCTATTTTTGTAGTACAATACATGTAATTTATATGTAATAAACATTTTGTTGCACATTTTAAGATGCATCCTCAGACATTTAATTTAACAATGCTGTCTTCAATTTTCCGCAGTGATGCTTGTCCTCCATTTTACCAGCATGTCATCACATTACAGTCATTCACTGAGAGAAGACAAACACAAATTTATTGTTTAGCTCATAAAAAAACACCCCAGAATCTTAGCCAATTATACAACAGGTCTGTTTTGTTTTTTATTTTCTTCATTCCGTCCTGGACTCATCTGTTTACTCTGTTGAAATGTCCCTGTGTAACCAAAGTACCCTCACCAATGTCCACTTCTAGCAATTCACTGCATTAAATTACCTGGTAATTAAGCTGACTCTAATCATTAAACTCCAAAAATTAACAACAAAAAAATACTTTACACCTAAAGTGCCTTGCAAAAGTGTTAATTCCAGGTTAATGATTACAACCTATATAACTGTGATTTGGAAGGGGGGTTAACAAATACCCCATTTACACTACCCTTGAAAAACTGTGCCGAGCTCAGTAACTGAGATAACTTATCGTGTGTAAATGGAAAGCAAACTGAACTGAACCGAACTAGACACAACAGAACCGAGATAACTGCAGACCAGTTCCAGCGGTGGGCTCGGCTCGGTTTTTCCCTTCAACTCTGTCTGGCTGCACATCCCAATTCACACTCCATTCCAGTAGTTGGTGGTAATGCCCCTCCGGAAGTTGCTTGCCAACCAACACAAAACAGAAGAAGAACAACTATAAACAACTATAAACAACTATAAACATCCATGAAAGGTTGCCGTCTTCGCCTGAACCTACGCAAACACCGAAGCAGACACCCTGTCTACTTTTAAGACTAGGCTTAAAACTTTCCTTTTTGATAAAGCTTATAGTTAGGGTGGCTCAGGTTATCCTGAGCTATCTCTATAGTTATGCTGCTATAGGCTTAGACTTTTGGAGGACATAGGGACCCCCATTTCATCATTCTGCTACATTCTCTCTCTGTTCTCCTATTCTGCAGAATCTGGCTGTGAC